GCCAGCGCTCAGTTCTGCTCTCCATCACGTCCTGTACAACTCTGCTCACCTCAGAGGTGCTCAGCTAACAGAAATGACCACATGTCTACCCCCTGTACAGAATAACCTCGAACAACCTAACCAAAGAAAACAATATTTCTTTAGATAAGAAGGCAGGGGAACAAGCCAGTGAAGAATGGGGAAAAAATAAAACATGTATAAAACAAGCATCAGCTTTGACATTGCAAGCTGTGGGTTAATAAGAGCTTTTCATAGTTTTTTTCTCTGTCCTCAGCACGTCTAGAAACACCATTTTTAATAGCAGGCTTTCTATAACATTAGCTAGCTCTCCTGTCTGTAACTAGTTTATTGCAGCTATGATAATAATTGATTTACTTGTAAACCTGAATATGAAGTCTGCTCACTCATCTACTTTGTTCTCCTTGCCAGGCTCTTGCTTTTGAAAACAGCGTGCATTTACAGCGGTGGCTGCCTGCGGCATCCATCGCCTCGCTGTCTGGCCCTTAGCGCTGCCGAGGTCGGGAAGTGCAGGCTGGCTCCCTGGGAGGGGCTGAGGATGTCTGGTTACGGCCCCTCCAGCCATTAACCCCACCTGCGTCTGGCCCTGGCTGAAAGGAGAATATCAGAATCAGAGAGAGAAGCGGAGAGGCCAGTAGAGGGGGGAAAATGCCTTTACCTTGTGTTCTAGCTTCCCACAGTGCTCACGCATCACACTTCTAGGGTACTGAACAGAGGAGCACGGCTTCCGATACCCCTCTGGATCAGATAGATAAGATGCTGCCCAAGGCACCTGGAGGCCAAAGACGGACAATATATTACGCAGGAGACACCTGAGAGGGATAACTTGCTACCAAGGACACGCAAAGGCTATCCCTTGAGAAACTAATTCCCACAAATCTGATTGGCATAGACAGTATTCAACCAAAAGTTTGACACCTGGATATCAGTCTTTGTATCTCATCAGGAAACTGGACCTGCTTTCTGCAAGCACCCATGTCTCTGCCTTCAATACACAGGTACAGTCTTGTGTGGAGAAAGCGGACGGCAGCTGTGCTGCCGGGCTGTGCGGTGAGGCACTAACATGTTGCAAATGAGCTTCACGTGCCATGAGACTGCACAGCTCGCATTAGGAAGGACTGCTAGGGCCACATTTTCATACAAGACCCCTAAACTGAGGCGATTTCTTTCTGCATGAGGGAACTCAGCACGCATAGAGATAGTTAAGAGGGACAAACTAGGGGCCCATTGTCAGCTGGAATTGCAAATAAGAGAATAGGTGCTTTAATTTAACTACCAGTGCTTGAAAACCAAAATCAAAGTCTCTGTGGATGAAAGACATGGCACCCAGCAGAGGTGGACATAAAAATCTTTCTAACTTTCTAAGTCAAGATGTCCCTTTAGAGCTGAAACAGGTACAGAAATCACTGCCACTATATCAGACAAATCTTTCTTCTTGAAGATATGAGGTATCCGGCTAAGCAGGCCTAAGTAGCAGTATTTGTCTTAAATAAGTGCATGTATTGAGTGTATCTCAGAAAAACGCACCTGATTTTTTTTCATACCACCACCAGTAATAATAACGGTTAACAACTCAGAAACAGTTTTGCACATTCTAAGGAGCTTCATAAGCACTAATGAATTAAGGGTTTCCTAGTAAGTAGTGCAGAATAAATGAAAATCAAAGAGAGACTTCAAGAAGCCTAATAAGCTATAGAAATTAATAGGAGCTAAATGAGAAACAATTCATTTTTATTAAAAAACTGACTAACAATAATGTAATATGGTCCATGTGAAATGAGTTCAGGGTGTCTCTTTCCAGAACTGGACAGACATGCCCACATCACAGAACCTGCCACAAAAGAGGTCCTTTTCCTGCTAATTTGAGACAGATATAGATGGTGATTGTGGCCAAGGCTGTCTCATGGTGAGAAGCAGATCTCAAAGGCAAGGTCAACACCACAGTGGGAAAAAAGTGCAAGATGATAGTCAGAATATAAGTATCCAGGTATGTTAGCCTAACTTCTTTCTCTGGTGCATGGAGATACTTGAAACTGTAATAAACAAATAAAATCCTGCTGCTTCATAAGGGGAAATCTGTGGTTGAAGAATTCTTTTAAGGTGCCATTAAAACTGAGACATCAAATGTATGCTTATACTGAAGCACGCAAGCAGCTACTTAATGAGCTATAGGCCTTTTATATCTTCACTGTGCTTTTTAGCAGTGTTAGAAATTAAGTCCCTGGCCAGGCTTTGTTCACTAGCGACATTATCTTTGATTCAGGCATCAGTATATTTCAGTGTTGCGTCTTAGGACTCAAACCGGCAAATTACCCACTTCGTTGGAGAAGTGCTGAGCGCCCTCAGCTGTCTGCAAAGGAGGTTGTGAAAATTTCACAAGTCTGTGTTTACCAGCTTGAATAGCCTCTGCAAAAATTCTCCTCTTCTTTTCTTTCTTGCAAACCAGATTCTTCCTAGTACTCACCAGTGTCTCAGTGACAGCGCAATGACAGGCTGTGGACTTCCAGCATGCCTGGCAGAGGGCAAGTGCTGTATATTTGGCCACTGGGTAGGGCAGAGATACCCACGCACCCACGCTGCTCCTGGAAGGCAGGGCAGATATGTTGAGCTGCCAGGGCCGTCACTGAGATCTTGGGTACCCCAGTGTGGTCTACAAGGCAGATGCACATCTAAATCCAAGTGATGATGATCATTTGATCCCATTGGGTCCTTCTTTCTCTACAATTGATTTATTGCATTGGGATTCAAGGTTCCCAAACACTTAGGCTGAAGCTTCACGCAGAGTTTATGTTGGCATAAACCAGTATGAATCATTCCTTCTTTCTCTCTGCCCAAAACCACTTCTTCACAGTCATCTACAAAAGTTTGTGTGAGCATGCAGTGAGCCAGCACGAGGGAAACTGATCTGGGTAAAAATGGATCCAGGTTAAATTATCTGATCTGGTTCTCTCTAATCTGGCCATTGATATACCTCTACTAGCACTTCTTTCAATGGCAGTGCTATCTTATGCAGGCTTAAACACTGTACAAAACTACAGCCTCAGATATTTCTGATATTTCAGCCATAGTCTGAAATCTAGCTGGCTCATGAGGTGATTTGCAGCACTTAAGACCTTTTTATTACATGTTCTGCAACAGCCACTACAATCCCCCCTTTGAAGATGGGCTCCTCAAGGTGGGTTTTGCCCCACGGGGCTTGCAGTTTAACAGTTCACATGCTTTCCCGATGTGTCAAGGCCCAGTAAGATTACTGCATCGCGGATAGTCTAGAAAACGCCACAAAACAAAAAAACCCACCTGCACACTGAGAGAAAAAAATGGTGAGTTGCAAGGCTTGACAATGAGAGTTTACAACTGAAATGCAAGTGGCTTCCCAGTAGAAATGGTGAATATGGGTGAAAATTCAGCACATCAAGTCTCCTTGCAGGAGGTGCGTTCCTAGGTACACCTGGGGAGTACTGCTGAGTGCTCACGGCTTCTAGAGGTCAAAAGATGCCCCAGAAAAACCGTAAGGGAGACCGTGGGTGTGACCTGGGGGTCTCTCTTTGGAAACTCTGCATTGTTGTTACCTCCATGTCATTGTAATTGTTCTCTTAGTGGTTTGTAGCACCAGACACGGTCTTTGCATCATCCTATCAAAAATGTCAGTGCAGCACACTTCACTATGATCGTACACTGTGTGAACAAGGGAAACAGAGATGTGTGCATTTACAGCCCATCAGAAGTGGTATTTTCACAGTTGGTAGACAAGCAGCTTGTAAAATCACAGAGGGTCCTTGAACCAAATATCATAGACATTTGTGATAAAAACAAAATGTGGGGCATTTACATATAAAAATATTAATAGGGAATTTTAAAGAGCATTTAAATGACCAGTTCCAACTAAAATTCATGAAGAACTGAGTGCCAAAATCCCTTTGGCTGCAGGCTTTAGTTGAGAGGTACGCCTTTTAAAATGATGTCAAGCATATGTTGTGTTTCCACCCACATACTGTGGCTTCGACCATCTCTTTACTAGTCAGGAAGAAATGTTTCCTTTATCTGTGTGTTAAAATTTGTGATGGGAGCCTGGGTCTTCTCTCACCGTGGCCTGCATGATAATACAGAACCATAGACACTGTTCTCTTCTGATGCTGGACAAGGGTGCACTTCAGGATAAAGAAAATAATGTTATTTACTAGACATTTTTTCTCTTTCCACTTTGCCACAGTGTTTCAGCATAGAGGCTGCCTCAGCTCCGTTCTGGCTTGATTTCCTGTTACAGCTATAAAGAAGCACTGCAGATCTCCCTATCCACCGAAGCGTTAAGGATTCGCTCCAGCCCAGGGGGGTACGTTGCACTTGACAAACCACCACTCTCGCCTGGACAAGGAGCCCTGTCAGCCCTCCTTGTCTGTCCAAGACTTCTCCATCTGGCCTGGAATTCCCATGATTTTTTCTCTTCTCTCCCTGGGTCTCTGATTCCTTGTCAGTAAGTCCCTAAAATAGTCCCACTTTTACTTTTGACCATCCTTAGGCAAAAGCAAAGCTTTCTCCCCTGCTCCCAGCCCTTGGTCATGATCACTTGTTGATCCGCCCGTGTTTTCCTGACATGACTGTATTTGGCAGTAGTGCCACGTTCCCAGAGCTTCAGACATTTTCTCAGTCTGCTGCCTTCTTGGTCCAAATTTCACACTCAGAGAGAGCAAAAGAAAAGGGCAGAGATGCCTGTGTTTTAAAACATTTATGGTATCCTGGAGCTCCTGACCTGTTCTGCTGCTGATGATCTAGAAAGAGAATTGGTGCCATCTATTGGAATGCGAAAATAAGGACAGAATTTTCAATTCAGCTTTTACCTTTTCTGCACATTTACCCATTTTTTCCTCCTTCTCCTTTATCATCAAGGGTATAAAGACAGAAAGGGCAACATCTGCTGGCATGGCAGCTGTTGAGTGAAATGTGCTGCTCCCTGAATTGAAACCATATCTGTTGAGTGGCCAACAAAGGAGAAAATAGCCTGAACAAAGATCCTATAATACTGTCAACTGCAGTTATTCCAGAGTCACAAGCCAGTTCATTTCTTCTGAACTACCAGAGACAGGAATCAAAAAACCACCAATCTTGTGGCCACCGTTTTGCTCTTATTCTCAGCAAAAGTCTAAAGTAACAGGCAGAAAATTACCTTGTCATCAGACTTCCAAATGCAGGGCCATGTATTTTGAGGAAGTAATATGGAGTACTTTTCACAGATGCTGCTCTTGCTGGATTGAATATAAATGGGGATGCTTTTGCCAGTTTGACTCTAATCACCAGTGCTGAATTTATTACGAAAAAAGATTAGAGAAAATATTTTTGACTGGTGACAGAATGAGTTTATTTCAAGAAGGAATTCACAGCTGATAGTGAGGAATTCCAGGAACTGGGCACAAAAGCAATCAAACTGCAACCCATTTCAGGGGGGAAAAAGCTGAAGAGGAAAGCCATGATGTTACATTTTCTTTACACATCAGCAGGCTTCAAATTAGATCATCAAAAAGGTGCACCAGAGGCACTATTTTCACTTTGTATCATTGCATCGGGATGTTATATAATTGCAGTTGTAAAAGAAGTTATCCGTTTGGCTGTATGTGGGAGGGAAAGTGATGTATGACACATCGTTTATTTAACTGTGCAGAATGGGCCAAGAGCAATTAGTTAGATGCATTCCTTGGCACTACCATTTTGTTTCCCATATCCTATAGATATCAGCAAGGTTATCAGACCAAAACTGAGATCTGGGGTCTTTTTTTTTTCTTTTTCTATTTTGCTTCTGTCTTCTCTTAGCCCCCTGCACTTAGCGTTTGAAGATACCCCCTTTGAAGGCAGTAAAAATATCAATAGAAATAGGTTCAAGATTGGACTGATAATCAAAAATCCATGGTGATCCAGGACTGGACATACTAGCAAAGCATATATCTGCATTTCATGCTCTTTCTAGTTATTTTTCCTGCCCACCACTTTTTACTGTAACTTTTACCAGCTGGCTCTGAGCCCTCTCCAGGCCATGGTAGCACTTAATTGTTGTAGGAAATTAATGCATTTCATTATCTTACTTCTCTCTAGGTTATGGTGACATTTATCACGCAATACTGCTGACTGCAAAAGTTGGATGCACTTTCTAACACCCCCTCTCCCTCAGTTAATCTGCTGGAAGCCTGCAAAGAACATATCTTTATGGTGTTTTGAAATTATCTGTCAATTGGAAATTAAGCTTAACCAGCAAATCTGAAGTCACAGCAAACACTCTAGCATTTAGTTTGGCCAGAAGCCCAGGCATTACTCAAGGGCAGTAGTCCTTCCATGGAACTGCGGACAGCTCTGTAGATAGAATAAACCAAAGCCTCTTTAGGAAGCTGGGTTCCTGAGAGGAAGCAATCCAGGCTGGTGCAGTGTATATTCATAGTGTCCCGTGAGAGAAGTCAGTCTTTGGTCTACGTCTGTGCAGTATCTATGGGATCCTGGCCAATATCAGGAGTTTCCAGCAGCTACCACAGCATCGCTCAGAAACAAGACAGCAACCCTGAGACTAGGAAGAGACTGGAAGAGCAGAGCCAATACAAGAGAGTCAGAGGCAGCATGAGTTCCACGTAATACAAGACAGACAGACAGATGGATAAAGCTTAAGCCCTTTGTATATATATGTAGAGATATTTACAGAGAGATGTTCTTTGTACCTAGGCTTTCTGAAGCCTTTCTGAAGGCCTTTGTCCCAGCTTTGTTTGATTTTCTGAGTTCAGGCCCTGGACAACTGAAAAAACAGCATCCGAGCTGTTAGCCCAGGGAGATGTGAAGATAATTCAGCATAACCCTTTGTCATTTTAGACTAAGCTAAGCTGCATTATCTCACATTTGCTAGGGGATAAGAGTGTACACAAAGACTGTTTCCGTGGCTCAGCTGCCGCAAGGGAATTTCTTAAGTAACTTGACTGTGAATCTGAACCTTCAGCCCCGGAGCTGACTGATGTCTGTTTTCGCAAACAAATGTTATGGTGTGGCTTGGGGAAAACTAGACAATTTTATACCTCTCTAAGCCTTGCCTCCAAATATTTACCCTCTCTACACAGAGCACTGGCACTGATAGATGAGCTTAGTGGTAACTCAGCCTCGCAGGTCAGACCGCTCACCAGAGAGCAAAAATTTCTTTCCCTCATGAAGCTAACATGTTCCACTCCTCCATGTTGCCTATGACCTGCAGAACAGAAGAAACAAATTGTGATGAAAGACTGAAGTGAAAAAAAAAAAAAAAAGATCTGAATAAGTTAGGTTAGCCCAAACAATTGTTTTCTTGGCAGCGTACCCACTATGCTGATGCGCGACAACACGGTTTTCTGCAAACACTTTAGTGCTCCTTAGACAGAAGCATTTTTTCCTTTTATGTAAAGAAAATTTGGACTGCTTGAATTTATTTTTTCCTCCAAACCTCTTTGGTTATTTCCCTCCCTTCATTATTTACAAGGGCTTTAATTTTCATTTGGCTCTTGAAAAGCTGAACGGTTCGCTCCAGCTAAAAGCAGCTATTTCACCTCCGATTCTCAAGGAGCCCTTCTCCGTTTTAGGAGCGCAAGCACCGTCTTCATATTTGGACGTCCTCGGAGAACTGCAAGACACGGATCTCCGTGGCAGGGCGGCACCCTTCTAAATGCTAAACCGCTTCCCCCAAAACCGTGGCTATTTCCTCTCTAGATAAGACCTGTTCCCCCAAAAATGGATGCTGGGTACAAAAGCAGAGCTGAGACTACTGTGGGAACAAACAGCTACCAGAAGCATGCCACCCTCGCTGCCTCCCGAAGGCCCGCACAGCCCCGTCCACCGCACGGGGGGACACCGCCA